CCCGGGTCCCGCAGCTTCCGGATCCCGCAATTATCGGGTCCCGCAATTACTAGATCCCGCAATTCCCGCATCCCGCAATTCCCAGGTCCCGCCGCTCCCGGCCGCCCTTGGTGGCCGCAGCTCCCCTGGCTCCTCTCCTCCGCTGCTGATTTCCACAATCCCGATTAATTCATTAAACTCTGAACGCTCCAAAGTTACCCAAACTCCGAGCTCAGCCCACCCAGCTCTGGAATTCGGCTGCAGAGAGAGGATCAAACCAGAGAGGACATAGATGGAGAGGAGTTAAATCTGCCTGACCCGAAAGATTTATTAACAAACGTTCCTGGGACCTGAACTCGGGTGTTTTGGGAAAAAACCAAGTCGGGTTTTTGGGAAAAAAAGTGAGCAGGGTGATGCTGCAGCTCCATTGCCACCTGGTGGCAAAAACCCCCGGAACTGGAGAAAAATGCCTTAAACTGTCCCCATACTTCGTATTTCAGAATGAACAACTATTTTGGTCTCAATGAAAAATCAAATATTAAAATAAATCTGGCATTTAGGAAAGAAGAGACTGAGATCAGACTGAAGGTGCAGCCATAAACCAGGAGCATATTCCAGTTTAATTTCCACACGTGGATTTAGGTTCGGGAGCACCAAAGCTGCTCCACGGGATGAGGTGACCAGCAGGGACAGCTGGGGTGGCCCCTCCAGCTCCACGTTCGTGCTGCAAGGATTAAGGGAAAGAGCCGTGAGAGGAGAAAGAAACTGAGGAACAAAAGGTGTTTTCTGGTTATTTACTTGCAGTTTTTATTTTAGTGGGGAAGGAAGGGGGAGGAAAGGGCAAGAAATGTGAAAACTTACAGATTTCACCTACTATTTGATCTTGCTTTTTGCTTATTTCTTCCTGAAAATCTGGAATAATCTTGGACTATATAGAATTTTTTCACTAGAAAAAGCTCATTTGGCTTTTTTTGAAGGAAAAATTCTGCCCAGCCTCAATCTTCCCTGGCAATCTCATCTTTTCTGTTAAATGTGAATTTTTCAATTAAAAGCCTTGGACTCCCTCTTTCTTCTGAAGGTTTTGGGCTCAGTCAGAATTCAGGGGAATTTGAAGTGAATTGAAGGAATCACCCAGCAGGTCCCAGCCTTTAAGGATGGACAGAGCAAGGGGAGCAGGAACCACACCTTTCCAAAATACCACATTTTGGGAAGGCCAAATCCTTGGAGTGGCACCTGGGCACAGACACCCCATCAGGTCAAGGACCTTGGGTTAATTAACCTGAATTTAATGTTCTGTTAATCATTTCACAGTTACAAACCCATTCCCACCAACCCCCCTAGGCTTCATTCCCATAATAGCAATAAATGGCTCACTGTGATCTGAACTATAAACAGATTTCGTGAATTCTGCCAGAAATTGAATATTGAATTATTTCTCTATGCCCACATGTCTTTCCTGGTTTGCTTAATTCTGCCAAATATTTAGCTCAGCCTTCTCTTCTCTCAGCAACCCACACTCTCCCAGCTACATCTTCCCATTTTTGGACCATTATTTAAAATTTCAGGCTTTTTACAGAGCTTGGCCAAGGAACCAAAGCTGATCAGGGAGGAATGGAGCAGCTGCAGGATTTCAGCTCCTGGATGGGGATCTGGCTGTGGCTCCTCCTGAGACACCTGCAGGGTTTGCCCCAGCCCGGGCTCCTTGCTTTAGCCCTTTTTGGGAAAAATCCCACTGGAATGGGAATTTCTCATCTGGGCTGTGGGAACAGGATGGACACATTTTTGCATGTTCCACAACCACACTTCAGAAATACATGATTTTCCATTATTTAAAATATTAATTAATCTTTTTTTTTTTTCATACAAAACCCCAGAGTGTGTGGCTGAAAATGCCATTTCTTGCTGCCCTGGGAGGCTGTGAGCTGGCCCAGAGCTGCTCTGATCTGTGGCCTCACAAGATGCAGGACTGGCGATTTTCAAAGTGCTGCTGATGGCCTGGAGACAGGCGGAAAATACTGACAAAACAACATCAGCAATGAGCAGCAAACCCCCTTAATTTGTGCAAACATTCCCAAATAAATGGGAATGTTCCCAAATAAATTCCCAATTTGTGCAAACATTCCCAAATTAAGACTCCTATCTGTGGTGGTGTCACAGGGGTCTCAGGATGAGGGAAGAGATGAGAATTTTGACTCCATGTTTCAGAAGGCCGATTTATTATTTTATTATATATACTGTATTAAAAGAAAATGCTATACTAAAACTATACTAAAAGAATAGAAG